GGGTGTACTAGAGAGAAAGGCTTGATAGAGTAGGATAAGAGGGGTGTACTAGGGAGAAAGGCTTGATAGAGTAGGATAAGAAGGGTGCACTAGAGAGAAAGGCTTGATAGAGTAGGATAAGAAGGGTGTACTAGAGAAAAAGGCTTGATAGAGTAGGATAAGAAGGGTGCTGTTTCTGAAAGGTGGCTCAACTGAGGAGAGGGCTCCTGATAGCCATAACTGTAAATACCAGCACATGAACCACTGGGCCAACTCTTCTCCTTCAGTTGATAACTACAGACATGTTCTATTTCTCAGGATAAAACAACAGCAACAAAATCACACTTTAACAATATTTATTTTTTTGGTAAAGGCACCTTTTAAAAATCAAAAGCAACTAAACCAGAAAATATAAGACAAAAGCAGTTACTGGTAAACCATGTTATACATTGCAATTACACTCAATTTCAAACTTTTTTCTTGGATATCATGGCAAACATATAATGATATGTAGGAGCAAATATTTCGTGACAAGGGTTCCAGTCACTCAAAAGTCAGTTTTCAGAATGAACCTACTGGAAGTAAACATCTTAATAGGATATTCAAAAATTACAATAAATACCATCAATCTATGAAGTTAAGATGAAAATGCTGTACTCTCAATCAATAACAAAAGCTAGTTATTAGAAAGCAAAAATGATTAACTAGTAACTTTTTCATATCTTTGTTATTGGAAAAACTTAAAGGTAATCTCATTGCAAATTTCTATGAACCTGTCAAATGTTTGTCACTCAAAGTGCTAAAAAATGCAGCCATGGTATCAGAGCATTACTTCAAAAGAAGATCATTTAGTATGTGACCACTTACAATTAAAGAACTACTGGAAAATATGTTAAAGTAAGGTTCAACACACACCAGTTAATGATAAGCAAACACTTGAAAACTTAATTAATTTAGGTCACTATGATCAAAAACATAACTTTGCACACTTCTTATCATCAACATCTAAGCACAACACTTTTAAATCTATAAAATATCCTGACATCAATTCTCCTGGATATCTCAATACACAGAGAGGTACCAAGAATATGGCATTCTTCATCAGAATATCTGGATTGTACATAATATTTAATTCTCTGGACAAGCCAATAAATCATCTAAGAGAATTAATATTTGCATCTTTGGAGTTTAGGGTTACTTAACTGCTGAGCTTAAGAATAATAACTGAAACAAACAAGTGTCTAGCTTTTCTTTTCATAATCTGTACTCAATCAAAATCATTTGACGTTTACTCTTTCATGTGTCTAAAATCAAGATTTCTCGTTAGTAAAAAAAAAACCATGACGTTAACTTACAATGATCTGAGCCAGTAGACAGACTTGTACATGTAATATATAACCAATATCGTGAAAACTATCATGCTTTCATGTGTATTATTAAATGTATTGAGTCCATCTTTTCGCCTCAAATATGCAATAAAGGAACTATTCTTTTCTCTTTTTTTTCTTTCAGTGGATATTGCTTATATCAGAAATAAAAGTTGCCACCTTACATGGCAGAAATCCAGTTAAGTTATTTCTGTCAAGTTTTTCTTTTTTTAAAAATAGAATTTTAATAATACAAATTGAATAAATTGTGAATAAATTGCACCAATGAGGTTGCAAGGATTACCAGGGATTTCAAAGTTAATATAAAAGATCAGGAAATAACTATGACATGATTCAACTCATAAAACTCCTGTTTTGGAAACGCTCACAGTTATCAGTTCCTCGTAAAGCTTTCCAAAACAACACAATTTATCGTTACAAAGGTGCAAAATAAATGTGTGAAAAAGGCAATGTAAGGTTTTCACATAACGAGCACCTCAGTTGAGAAAGATGAAGTAACAGCAACGCGTCCATCAGTAGTCAGTGCAATGCCTTTAAGCCAGTAGGAATGCTCTCGTCGGATTTGAGCACTGCGCTCAAACTTACCATCATTGGCGTATGTTTCGACATGCAGGAGTTGTTTCATCGAAGAAGCGACGACGACATGTCCACCTGCTCGGAGATAAGTAAGCCTAACTACAGAATTGAGATGTGGGTTTTGCAGCTGAAAATAGTTAAGGTGGTCGCCGTGTTCACTGAATATATGAACACCATCAAAGTTCCCCACCATAATATGGCCATCGTTAGCGATAGTGATATCCGACGCGTTATGCAATATTCCTTCTCCAAAGCTGCGAACAAACTCTCCATTAGTGTCATATTCCTCCACAGCTCTCGTGTTCCTCAATGTCAGTATTTTTCCAGCGTCACTGACTGACAATCCCCTGGACCAGTCCTCTTTTCTCAGACGAAACGTGTGATGCAGGTCAGCGGTTTTAGTAAGTTTATAAACCCACCAAGATCTCTTAGTTCCAGGCTTCTGCAGTTCGGTCAGCACGAAGATGTTGTCGTTGATGTCTGTGGCTACATCATAGATAAATAACTTTGAATCTACTTCATCAGTAGGGAGACTAAAATGTTTCACAAACTTGCCGCCCCTGTCAAACACCTTCACACAACCATTGTCATATTCCCCAACGATGAATTCTCCGTTGGAGTTTGTAGTGATACCCCACGGCTCCTTCAACTGCTGCTCCTCTTCACCCGCCGCACCAAATGACCAAGGTGTTACACAACAGTGCTCTATGCCTTGCTTGCGCAGAATTTTGATTACTCTTTCGTCCGTTAATAATTCAACGTCTTCTTTTCCGGTATCAACAACATGAGGGGGATAGATGGCAAAAGACAAATCTTGACCAAGCGCTAGCATGACGTCATAGATGACAAGATTCACGGGATAGACATTGCAGATGATTTTCCTCCTTTCCTCTTTACCGACCAAACCCCTGACTGCCTGGAGTCCTTTTTTAGGCTGAACATCGAAACTACTCTTTACAGCTGCCATAGAGTGTAAATCGTCAATACACACCCTGCATTGTGCTAATGCATTCGCGGGATTGTCCACTGTTTCCAGTATTGTCGCCATAACTCGGTAGTGCATGGCTAGAATACGGTCTCATGTTTCTAGTGCTTCGTTGTTGAAGGCTTCTGTTGCTTTTCTACGAGCATCTTTAAAAGCTTCCTTTGCTTGACCGAGCTTTCTCGTTTCTGATTCATCAAGGTCACTAAGCTCCAACTTTTTCATTTCTTGAGCGACATAAACGGTTTCAGCACAAGCCGCTCGTGCTGTTACCGCACCAAAACCGCTTTGGGACCTTACCTTGTCAAACACTTCATACAACAACTCGATTCCTTCTTTGAAGAAGCTGATACTTGTCAACAAATCTTTCCTTGATAATCCATCCAAGCTTGACTTGACATCGTCGATATCACGCACGATGAGAGAACGAAACTTTTGGTCTGTTACATCGCCATCTTTAAGTTGCTTTGCCACTTTATCTCTACCTTTGTTCACAAGCAAGCCGATAGTATGTTTAAATACGGCTAATACAATCGAGGACATCACTTTAACGCCGGCTTAAAACGAGGCAACGGTATTCGCAGAAGTAATGTGAGAATATAAGAATCACTGCTTTTGACTGACACTTTAATCAAAAGCTTTTTCCGTCTCAGTGCCTCACAAAAGAACAGAACATCAATCACTGTTCGCCGATCGATGGGAGATTAGAAGGAAATGAAAACTTAACTTTGAAATATGTAACCAATATATCGTCCAGACTTAATTTTTTAATAGTCTTGACATTAAAATTACTTAAACCTTTTTTTTCCCGTACAGCGTATTTGTACACCATGCAGGAAAAGAGATGGAGACTGAACACGGCGCTATTGAAGCGTCAAATGCCAAGTACACTTCAAACCACAGAAGTGAAGTAAACAAAACTCAATATCTATTAGCATCTTGATTTCCCTAAGCATGAAACGTTCCAAATCAAATTACTTGAGAAGAAGAGTGAAACACTTTTTCAAACAAAGGTAGTCGTCGTCACTCGTAATTTATCGTACTTTTTACTAGATTGATTTTAAAACAATACTGCGTGTCCAACAGCAGTTAACAAATCCATTAGTGACCTAGCCAAAGAAGACGGTTGACCCATGTTAAGAATGATCAGCTAGTATCAACTTTGTTTACAACCAAACAGATTTGTTCTCTCTTCAAACAAGACCATTTGGCTATTAATATCTTCATTTAAATACATTATAGCCGTCCTTGCTACAAGTAAGATACCACATAGCAATTTTATGTCTAACCTGTAGGTGAGGGCTACAAAGACTCCTTCGCGATCATTAGCCTGAAAGCAAAACATCAAAGTTTGCCTGAAGGAACGATTCAGCAAAAATAGCTCATAATTTCACAGTCTAGAACAGTAATACGTACGGAAAGGAGGCGGGGTTTAAGTTTTATTACTACGTGAAGAAACCATTTCTCATTCCCTGCTCTTCTTTGTTTTTACCACTAAAAAACACCAAGCAGGAATCGATAAACTTGTTAGTTCTCTCTTCTTTCGGCTGCATCAAGACTTCGAGGAGGTTGCATTCCGCGATAAGCTCGTGGAAACATTACAAATTAGTTCTCATGGACATGTCATCTCTCTTATAAAGTTTATCAGCCTTACTTTACTCATAGAGAAGAATTCCTTTCACGATCATGACGATGCCGGTGATGATGGTGCCGGTGACGATGATGCCGATGACGCGACTTCCGATTCCTCTCACTAGAATCATCGCTATCGCTATCACTACTGTAAGAACTATCACTGTTTGTATGTTTGTCTTCCTTATATTGTTGTCTGTTCTGAGGAACGGAATCTCTATTACTCTCTCCGTACTCTCTCTTTCCTTCATCGTGTTTAATCGAGACGTTTGGTCCGTCTGTGTGACCTATCCTCCCTTCTTCATTTAAAGATTGCTTTGTTTTGCTATCTTCCACATAATCACGTGTTTCACTCCTTGAATGTCGTCCTGTGCTGTTCGAGTGTGATCTTAATTCAAGATTGGCCCTTTTTCTTTTCAAATATAAAACGCCGTCGTTACCATTTCCTTGTTGTTCATCGCTATCACTGCTACTGCTCGACTTCAGTCCCCTTTTCTTTTGGTTTCTTACCTGTTTGTAGGAATCAGTGACTGGAGAGGTAGTGCCATGTTCTTCAATCTCTCTTTTTTTAAAGCTGTTCTTATGTGGGGTCACTGGCTCGCTGTCTTCGCTGTCATATCTTTTGCCGCTATCTCTTTCCCGATAAGTCCTTGTTAAGTTGCTAGGGTTTGTATGATCAGGAGATGAGTGGTCAGTTTGTTTTGATATTTCTTTAAGTGACGATTCCTGCTTTGCCTGAGACTCTTTCTCAAGCTCTCTCTGGGGAGATCTGGAGCGTCTTCGTGGAGACTTCGGGCTTCTTCGAGGAGAGTTCGACCTTCTTTGCGGAGACTTAAATCTTCTTCGCGAGGATCGAGGAGAATTAGAGCGATGACTAACTCTTCTGCGTGGAGATCTAGACGAGTCTCGTGGGGACCTTGAGCGTCCGCGTGGAGATCTCGCACGTCGTGGAGGAGACCTTGATCGCCTTTGAAGGGAACGATTCCATGGTGGAGTTATTCGTGTCACGCTACTGTTGGATTCATTGGAGGGTGGAGGTGTGCGATATCGCTGAGGAATGAAAAGAAAACCAAATTACAGATTAAATGTACTTGTGAGAACAAAACAGTAGATCAAAGACTAAATAAGTTATAGATTCCGACATTTTTTCCTTTGCAGCGTCCAAGTGCCACACAAAATGTCGCTTTCCGTTGACCCCTTGCCGAATTAAACATCAATAGCATTGTATATTTCTCCTCACCATGTTTCCTCTGCCTCGAAGAATCCTTCCAGACTGGGAAACCTACATTGAAATTTATGATTTAAACGTCAAACATGGAGCTTATTTTTATTTCAAGTAGCTTTTCAGTGTTTCCCCAAAAAATTAAGCCATACATTCTAGTCATCTTCAAAATAGTATTACAAAATCCAATTTAAACTTATTGCCATGGGAACAAGAAACGTACATCCCGTCTAAAATCATCACGCAATATAATTCGTAACAACTTGGTCCAATCCACACTCTTCCTCTTTGAGACCTTGACCACACTAAACCATACTTGCCATACTTAAAGCAAGAAAAAATCTAATATGTAAACCCGTTAAACCAAGAGATAGAAAGCAAATTCTCCCCGCCGATGGCCATACCTTGCTGTGGTACTATGTCCTAAGAATTTAGCGTAAAATCAGAACAATATCCCCAGTTAACATTTTCCTTGATTCTCATCGTCCTTCAACCCAAATACGTATTAAAATCGTACAGAGAATTTACCAACTGATCTCTTCTGAGAATCAAAAGGTTGACTCGCTATCCAACAAACAACATCATTAAGGTAAAATTACGACCGCATAAACAAGAGTGAAAGTCGGGCGTTAGAAAGGAAAGGAATCAACAGAGATATACTCAAGATAACTAAGAGAAACTAATGCGCCAGAAAGGAGATTTTTGACTTGAAGAGACGGTAAAAACGAATCTGCATTGTCATCATAATTTAAATTCAGCCTAACTGTCCTTAGGCTGTTCTCGACTCCCTCAGTAACGCCGTTTTGAAAAGACAAATTAAACAGCATAACCTTTAGCAACATGAACTGCCCTTAATAAGCACCGTTTCCCGTGGTACCTACCCTGCTCTTACGAAGAGACGTTTTTTCTGTTGTCGGAGACTTGCTTCTCCTAAGAATAGAAATTTCGAAAGTTAGTAAAAGTGTAGTAAAAGTGGTTTGATGATGGTCTGTACCAGTAATATCTACCAGATATTTTTCATTTACCAACCTGTCTTTCCCTTCTGCAATCCTTTTTTCCCTAACAGGACTCGGAGTGCGGCTTCTTCTAAACAAGAACGAGTTGTTAGGGACATCCGGGATCTCATCTGCAGCTACTGTACTAAAAGGCTCTGGGCTCTTCTGGGATTTCTCATTATCTGAACTGAAAATGAATCAAATATGCATGGTTAAGCGCATCCAGTTTTATCAAGAGTTAAAAAAATAAAACAACAGCAACAATATCAATTATTAAATTAACAATGATGATAATTTATGAATTCAAAAGAAACACTGTACGGAAAATCCTTAGTATGGTATAGTAGAAATGAAGAGGCAGAGGTTGACTTTGCAAAATTTTCTCTTTTACGTTCTATGAATAGAGGGGAAAAGGCATCCATTACAAAGCTTTTGTCCACGTACTAGGCTTTCAAAGCTATATTATACACACATTCCTATATTGTTTCCACGGAGAATATTATGAAAATGTCTCAAGGTGCAACGTACTTTGCAATAAAAATGAAGTCACAAATGGAAAGATAACTTACCCATCTTTCATTTCCTTCATTTTCTTATCCTTTGCCTTATTTTTTTTTCCCTTTTTTTTAGCAGAATCTTTCCGCTTTTCTTTCTTTTTCTTCTTTGACCGTTTTTTCTTTCGTTTCTCATCAGATGAGGACTCACCCTCTGAATCAGTATCAGACTCTGAACTGGACTCAGAAGCTGTGCTGGACTCTTTCCTTTTCTTTTTTTTCTTCTCGGCTTTTTTCGCCATAGCTTGAAAGAAAAAGTGAAAACAAAAACTTTTTAATAAAAAGACAGGATGATGAATGGATTGAATGATGGAATTAATTTTTAAAAAAAATGATAGGATGACCGCCTCCCGGTTAGCTCAATTGGTTAGAGCGCCGGATTGTGTTGTGCGTGA